TGGCTCATATTTAAGTGATTATCTACTAGGAGTCCTAGATCCCTGTCACCGTTATTGTGATTGAGAAAAATACCACTATTCTAAACCTATGTACTTGGTTTTACATGCTTATCTTATTTTTCTCACCACTGAATTGCATTTTGTTAAATGCCCAATGTTCAAGTCTGTCAAAATTGTTCTGGATTTTAAACCTATTCTTGGGGGAATAACCAATGCTTTTGAAGTGTTGGTTATTCCCCCAAGCTTGGTGTCATCTCGAAATTTGATGACTTCTCCTTCTATCCTCTCATTTAAATTATTTATGAAGATGCTGAAGACTACCAGGCCTAAGGTAGAACTTTGGAGAAACCCACTGTATGCTTCTCTCTATGTAGACATAGTTCCATTACATGTTGAAAGCGGTCAGCCAGTTATGAATCCAACTGGTGGGGATGCTGTCTAAATCCACATTTTTATATCTTGCCAAGTAGGTTGCAGTCTACTTTGTCAAATGTCTTACTGATGTCCAAATGTATTGTCCAAACGTTTTGCTGGTCTACTAATTTAGTCACTTTGTCAAAAAATGCAATGATATTTGTCTGCCACGATCTGTTTTTGATATATCTCAATGTAAATAAGCTAAGACAAAGAATTGAAATCCAAGAACTGTATCATGGGCCTGTGCCAGTATTAGGAAAAAGCTTCCACTTCACAACAAAGATTATTATTGAAATGGGCCAGAGCTTGATTGGAACCATTGTGAGAGAAAAGAGATAAAGACCCTATTCCCATTCTAAAAATAAATGAAATGAAGCCTTTATTCTATGAAGAGATCTGCATTGCATATTAGATACTTTACAGAAAGATAAAATATATATTTTGACTACACCAATAAAGTTTAGAAAGAAAATGCAATCTCTGTAGCCCTCCATATGACACATATTGCTGCACATTTACTTTCAATTAAAAATATTTTAAAATACTAATTGGAAATCTGCCTTCAAAAGCAGAAGGATAGAAAAAGCAGTATTCTTCATACTGGGAGGTGTGGATCTAATCTAGTTTTAACACACACACACACACACACATGCTGCATTGACAATTTGTCAGAAGAATCCTGGCATTAATGGGGATATTATGTGGTAAACATGATAGCTTTTGTCTGAAGCAAGATGTTAAAACAGAGACAATTAAAAAATGGAAAGATGGAGATCCTAGAGCACCTGGGAACTACAGAGGATTGGAAAGAGCTGATATGGTCCCCATCTTCAAAAAAAAAAATGGTGCAGGGGAAACACACCCAGGAAAATACAGACCAATCAGCCTAACATCAATACCCAGGAAGATACTAGAAAAGATAATAAAAAAACAGATCTGCCAACATCTAAAAACAGGTAAAGTAATAACTAGAAGTCAGGATGGGTTTGTTAAAAACAGATCACACCAAACCAATCTTATTTCATTTTTCAACATAGTGACTAAATTAGTAGACCAGCGAAATACTGTGGACATAATACAGACTTCAGTAAGGTATTCAACAAAGTAGACCACAACCTACGTCTTGGTAAGTTAAATAGCATCACCATCATATGGATTTGTAACTGGCTGATGAACCATACTCAGCAAGCGGTCCTTAATGGGTCTGTCTACATGGAGGGAAGTAAGCAGTGGGATACCACAAAGTCCCGTCTTAAGCCCAGTACTGTTCAACATCTTCATAAATGATTTAGATGAAGGAATAGAAGGGGAAACTTACCAAATTTGAGATGATATTAAGCTGGCACGAGTAGCTAACTCCCTAGATCAGTGGTAGTCAACCTGGTCCCTACCGCCCACTAGTGGGCATTTCAGCTTTCATGGTGGGCGGTAGGGGTTTTGTCCCCTACTTTATAAATTACCATTACTGTGGAACCGGTGGGTGGTTGGAGAAAATTTTTCTACTAACAGAGATACCAAAGTGGGTGGTAGATGTAAAAAGGTTGTCTACCCCTGCCCTAGATGATAGGCTCAAGATCCAGATTGATTTTGATAGACTTGAACACTAGACCCTATCTAACAAAATGAAATTTAATGTAGAGAAAAGTAAAGTCCTACACATATAAACTGGGTGAAACCAGACTTAATAGCAGTAACTGTGAGAGGGATCTTGTAGTCTTAGTGGACAATCTATTAAGTATGAGCCAATAGTATGCGGCAGCAGTCAAAAAAGCCAATGCAATCCTAAATCGCATTAACAGAATGAGAGCAATCAAGATCAAATGAGGTACTAATACCACTCTATAAAGCCTTAGTAAGACCACACCTAGAATTCTGCATCCAGTTTTGGTCATCACACTATAAAAAAGATATTGAGACTCTAGAAAGAGTGCAGAGAAGAGCAACCAAGATGATCAGGAGACTGGAGGCTAAAACATACGATGAACGGTTGCAGGAACTGGGCATGGCTAGTCTACTGAAAAGAAGGACCAGGGGAGACATGATAGCAGTCTTCCAATATTTGAGGGGCTGCCACAGGGAGGAAGGGGTCGAGCTATTTTTCAAAGCACCGGAAAGCCAGACAAGGAATAATGGATGGAAACTGAACAAGGAGAGATTTAACCTGGAAATAAGGATAAATTTTCTGACAGTGAGAACAATCAACCAATGGAACAGCTTCCCTTCAGAAGTTATGGGAGCTTCATTACTGAAAGCTTTCAAGAAGAGACTGGGCTGCCATCTGTCAGAAATCGTTTAGGGTTTCCTGCTTGGGCGGGGGGTTGAACTAGATGATCTACAAGGTCCCTTTCAGCTCTGTTAATGTTAAAGAATATGAAAGGACACATTGACATTAAAAAATTAATTAGAATTTGGAATACTTTATTATACATCAAATCTGCAAAATTATAAATTTATCATCATGCACCAGTGCGCCAGACTATGGATATTTACAGAACCTCATGATTTTTCCAACCAGCCCAAATTCACAGTCACCTCTGTATTAATATTTTAATTTAATAATTTGTTAGTTCAGTGAGGTTTTTGCTGGCGTTCCACATAGCTACAATATAAGGCATTCTCCATCTTTTTGACTATGCAGAACCAGGTACATAACCTTGAAAGCAGAAAAGTTGCTGAAAGGATATTTGGGAAAAATATGTAAATTTCATGCAATACCATTTTTGCAATGGTTCCTCTTTACAGAAAGATTTGCACTATTTCTGTATTCAGTGATGTTGAGGGATTCTACCCAAGAGCTGCCTGTCTCCTATTGCCATGTTTCTGTTAGTATCTCCCCTCAAAAGATCAGATACCAGTAAATCATTTTTCTTGATATTTTGAAAAGAATACATTATTGTAATGGGAAGAGGGGATAACTTTGAGGAACAGGAAGAACCACAACCAAGAAAATGGTCAGATAAAAGAAATCTGACTCCAGGGCAAAATATAATTGGAAAAAGCATCTTAGACAAGACCCTCCCTGGTTCTCATGAAGATAAAGGAAGGGAGGGGGAAAGTGCATTCAGTTTTGCTAATTTCTGTTAGTGTAACCTTATAATAAAAGTATTAGCTTGTGTAACTTCGGCTTCCAAGTTTTGGTCTACCTTAGAAGACTGATACTTACATTACTCATATAAATCTACCTATAAAGAATACGTACTCTTCTAAGAACATTAACTTTTCTGTATTCCACTTGCCCTCTTTTCTTGCAATTGTTAGAAATTGTGCTTTCAGTATTTTCTTCTTTAGGAATATTTCCCCATACTTACCAATCTTTTGAATTTGTAGAAACTGCTTTCTTGGAAGTCTAAGGTACAAATTCTCAATTTATGACCACAATTCCACCCAACATTTCTGTGGCTAAGCAAAAGTTGCTAAGTCAGTGTTGCCCCATTTTACAACCTGTCTTCCCATAATTGTTAAGTAAATCAGTGCAGTTAAGTTAGTAACGTGATTGTTAAGTGAATCTAGTTTCCTAATTGACTTTGCTTGTCAGAAGATCACAAAAGGTGATCACATGATTCTGGGACACTACAAACTTCTTGGGGTGAAACTTTCCTTAATCAGGTTCTTTAGGTCTTCCAAAAGTGCAGCAATCGCCATTTAACTGGATCTATCCACTTTGTTGCTAGCCATCTTCTTCTTTCCCTCCATCTTTTCCAACATTAGAGACTTCTCCACAGATCACATAATGTGTCCAAAGTGCTATAATTATATTTTCCTTTCTTTTTATAGGCTGGATGTTCCATAACAATGCTCCATTTGTTATTATGCTGTGTGTTGCCCTAATAGCCAATATGGGAGATTGGATGCACAAATGCAGCAAACATATGCGTTTGCTGGCTGCTTGTGCAAATGGAGCTGTGTGCATGTACGCTGGCTGCTCACACAGAACAATTTCCCTCCCGCCCCCCTGCTGGTCCACACAGTGGAAATGTTGGGAAACATTGGAGTAGTGGCTACAGCAACAGACTAGAAATCAGGAGACAGTGAGTTTTAGTGCCACCTTAGGGACAAAGCCATCTTTGGCCAGTCACTCTTTCTCAGCAGGCAAGGGCTAACCACTTCTAAAAAACCTTGCCAAGAAAACTGCAGAGACTTCACAGGCCTTCACCAGTAGTTGATACAAGACATAACAACATCACTAAACTGCATAATTCTATTTAGAATTCTAAACAATTCAACATGATTTGATGGGGGAAAGTAGGTAGTTCATTCTTTTAATTAACTTGGAGTTTGCTTAGTAACTGTTGATTGAATAAACCACAGCTAGTTGAGTTCACACATGAACTCATGAATTCAGGCAATGAGACAGTCAGTATTTGTTTCTTCCTTCCCCTCCTCATCAGCCTGACTTCTTTTTCTCATCTGAATATACATTTTTTCTAAGACCGGATTCCTGAAAACAAACAATTTCTGCTGATTATAACTTATACACTGCATTTCCTATGAAAGTGCAATGCTTAGGGAGGAGGATTTGAAATAGCAAAACATGAAAAATAAATCATATCGAAACAAAGTCCACAACAATCCAAACATTACATGTTTTCATTGGGTTTAATAGTTCAAACATTATTTATTTGTAGCTTATAGTATATTTTCAGTCTCTAGCTCATAGTCTCTCACATGCACACATGGAACAGACAACAGCTGTGAACCAATATGTAGATGTTCTTGTCCTAAGAGTAGAAAATTTTACTGACAGTAACCAGAAATTAGCTTTTGCCACCAATGTTGTATAGCAAATCCAAGCATTTCTTTATTAATAAATTTACTACTTTACTATTAAATTTCTTAGTGTCATAGCTTTTATTAGAAATCTAGATTTTTTTCTTTTAATATTTATACTATTTATTTTATTTATTATAATTTTTCTCAGAAAGCATTTCTTCAGAATGATATATTGCTAACTTGAATATTTTGTCAATAATCTGAGGAAGATTTGTCCTGTATATAAATGTCTGCACTAATTAATGTCCGTATAAAAATATTTATAGTGAACATTTGCTCATTCAAAATGTATGATAAAACAGTAACATGCCCAAGAAACAATAATATTTGAATGAATTAGGATTTACTAAAAATATTGTTCCTAAGTTAATTTTTCAGCCAAGAAACTTAATGCAATGAACAATATATATTGGTTTTCAATTATTTTAACCAACCAAATAAATTGAAATGGTTTCTTATCTCATCATTGACATCATTCCTATGGTACACAGGTGTTGATGCATCACAAACATTTTTTTCAAAATTACTTTATCTAAAAAAATAATGCATAAGTCAAAGAGAAGTGTGTAATTACCAAGGATAATAAAAATGTATTGAAGGAACCAGGAAAGAGAAGCTTAAATTTGAAGATTGAAGCAGCAATACTGCAAACATGTCTGTAATATTATTAATATCAGTTCAGACAGCGAGAACAATTTCTCAATGCATTCTCTTGACTTAAGCAAAATATTTGTTAACTCAAGAAAATGCATACAGGTTTTTTTTCTCTAGATAGCAGAAAGTTTTCTATTATACACAGTCTCTAAAAATACTCCAGAACTCTACCAAAGCAACAGCAAAACAGACTTCAGTGCAGCTTGGGGTTGGAAACCTTGGGGTTCATCTTCACCAATGTTGTCTTGGACCTTTGGTATAGAAGTAGTTTAAATAATGCCTTCACTGTATTTGCTTTGCCATACTACCAATGCTATAATGAGTAGGGTGATAAAAATTGGCACAAGAACAAATGGACATAAAATGATGTTAGGAGGGTCTCCTAGGGCCCTTCCTGAAACAGGGCAGGTTTTGAAGTAGTGCCTATGAATTGTTATGAAGAACTGATCCACCAGTTGGTTTGGCCAGTAGCAATTCAGTTTCTCAGCTATCAAGATGGTGCAATTGGTAAGCTCCCTGTAACAGCTGCAAAAGAGACAAGGAGACTTGTTAAAAAAATGTCACACAATGATTAAGGGGCATTACACATATTACAGAGAAGCAAAGCCTAAATTACCAGCAGTTATTGTTTTAGGGTCAAAATATCATAGGTATTTCTCTAAAGTGAAGAATAGGGAACAATTCTCACAAAGTGCCTTACAAGCAGTACAAACAATACATTTCCCACCAGAAAACCAGTGGACAGTGACTCTGGGGCAGAGGAGATGGCAGCTCAATAGAGTAAGCTTTTCGTCCTTGCCTTCTCTCTCCCTCTTTTTCTCTTTGGGGATCATTTCTACTGGGGAGATGAATTAAAATATAGTACTGAGTATTTCCATTAAGTCCTAAATGTTAACTAAATAATTCTACTTTATCCTTAGGATCTCTCAAAAACCACAATTGCAAAATATAGCTGTAAAGGTGCTTACTGAACTAAGTAGAATGTTTTAGAATTAAGGCTAAATGTTTTAGAATGGGATCTAGGACTAAGAATTGGGATCCTAAATGTAAATTTTAAGGGTTATTTCTGAAAATGGAAATGGATTAAATCATGACCATAGCAGAAACATTTCTCTCTCCTGCTCCTTCTGCCAACTGTTAACCACAATATCTGAACAACAAATAAACACTTAATCCTTAGCTATAGTATCTGTAAATCAGAAAAATCATAATTTACATACACTTATGCACATATAAGAAATTGAATCAAATTTAGTAAAGCATGTAAAAAATTCTTCAGGAAAGAAAAGGATTGGAGGGCATTCCTTTCCAGCTTTTGATTTAAGGGTTATTATTATTATTATTTTTGGTGGAGGAAAGGATTTCTGGTAACATCTGAATCCAAAATATAATTTGATTGAAGGACAATATATTCTAGAGCAGGAATGTCAAACTTGAGGCTCGCAAACAACATCCAACCCCAATGTGGTCAGATCCAGCCTGTGCAGCTATCTTGGAAATTGTAAGGGGACGGCCCGTGTTGCTTCGGCCCAGCTCATGCCACCCTGGCATGCTCACATGTGTACAGGAGGCAACAGGCCAGCATTGCCTTGTCCATCACTCGTCCCTCAGCCGTTTCCTCCACTGCCACCTCCTCCTCCTTGCCCTCATGGCTGCCGCCTCCTCATCACCCCCACCATGCCAGCCCTCTGCCTGGGTGGCTGGCCCTCTTCTCCAGCCGCTGCCCCATGATCCTCACACTCCGCCATGATCAGCAAGAGTGGCAGCCTCCTGTTCAGGGAGAGGGCGAGGTGGGCGGGGAGCCCTGAGGCTGCAACAGGAGTGGCTGCGCTCGGGCTGGCCGGAGAAAGAGCAGGTGGGCTTGGGGGGGGGGCTGCACACTTTCCCCCTCCTCCACTCTCCATTTTCCAACAGAAGCCCTGGGCTTTGCATCCCTTATTCTCCAGAGCTACATAGATCCTATCGTCCGGTGCTTTATTTATCTGGGTTTTATTTTCAGGGAAACACGGTAGCAGTAAACAGCAAACCAGACTTCAAGAAATGAATGCTCTAGGATATAAACCATGGGGCATTTTCTCACACCTTTCTGATTTGGAGGATAGTTGGGAGTTCTCTTCAAGCTATTCGGCCATGTCTTTTTTCCTTCCTTTGCTCAGTGCTGAAAAGGGCATGAAAAATGAATCTGAATTGGAGTAGTGTAGAATATCTACAACAACAATTGATTTTGGTTGTTGTCTCTTTCTGCTACATAATCTACTTTCACATTTTTCCTCATCAGCCAAATTGTGGCCCAGTCTTTTTACATTTTCTTCATTCTGCAGTCAGAAAAAGGATTTGTGATTCTTCTTAACCTCATATATGTTGCCATCTTAGAGAAAGGCAGGATATAGATATGGTCCTAAATGAAATTATTTTTAAATGTATTTAGTAACAGAATCAGGAAATCATCTGATCTTGCTTCTCTTTTTATATTTTTTATACAAAAATATTTTATAGAAAAGTTTTGATTTTTATTAAGTAAACTTTTAGATTCTCGTACATAAATATCCTTCCTGGAATACAGATTAAGCACATGAGTATCCTTTACCCTTAACTTTCTTCCAAGAACCTCATTCCCGATTATAATAGTATCTAAACAATCAGGAATTACCAGTGCATGTGTCCATATCAAATGTATTGTTTCTCTTCAGCCCAACTCACCTCAAAAGGTTGATGTTGTAGGGAAAATAGGTGGATGAAGGTGTCTGGTATATTTGAGTTATTTGTAAAAATAATAAAGGCAATATATGTATGTGTGTGTGTGTGCTTGCTTGTTTCCCCAAAAATACGACCTGTTTTCTGACAGTTAGAGCAATCAACCACTGGAACAGCTTGCCTTCAGAAGTTGTGGGAGCTTCATTACTGGAAGCTTTCAACAAGAGACTGGACTGCCATCTGTCAAAAATGATGTATGATCTGCTTGGGCCATGATGACCTACAAGGTCCCTTCCAACTTTGTTAATCTGTATCTGTATTTGATAGGTGTCGTCTTCTTCTGGTTGTGACACAGAAAAGGGAGTAGGCATATTTCTTATTGCCAAGAAGAAGGCAGGTCAAAAACCAGTGGATAAAAATTACAAGAAAGCATATTTAGGCTAGATATCTGGAGGAAATTCCTGACTGCCTAAGCCAGCCCCACTAACCCACACATCAGGGTTGGTGTAGAGAGCTTTATGCAGTCTGTTCTATTTCAGCTTTTCAATTAACCCCCAGCCGCCAGCTTAGCACAGTCATTGACCTGCGACCAAGTAGATAAACAAAAGCAAAACAAACTTACAGCCAAACCTAAAACAGTCTTGGAAATAAAGGTTTTGCTTGGGTAGGTTCCAAAAGTAAACACTCCAAATCCCCTCCGAAGTCCAGGGCCTCCACTGAGGTTTGTCAACAAGACCGGTGGTCCGGTTTCAGGACTTGCAAGGAGAAGTTACAGGAATTGTCTAAGCCAAGAGTTCATGGGGGCGCTTTCAGCGAAGCCAGCCACGAACCAGCCCCAGACTAACCTTCCAGGCAACAGCCAATTAGTCCACCCGACAGATAACTGGCTGCTCCAAACGCAAACACAAACACTCTCCGCAACTGAATTAAATCCAGGAGCTGCAGAGTTCCAGAAACACTAACAACCATCTGGCCATGACCCACATACATTGCTTCCAGCAACGCCTCCCTCTGCCTGCTGTGCTAAATAGCCCCTCCCACTGCAGCCCATTAAGAGGAGCAGGGCCTTTCCTCCTTCGCCTCTCTGCCTGTGTACTCTAGCATCCACCAAGGCTGGTAGCTCCTCCCCCTCTTCCTCATTGGTCTACGAACTCTCCCCAGTCGAGGCATGTTCTGCCAGCAGTTCAAAGTCAGCAATACCAGACATGCCAGGAATGCTCTCATTCTCCCTTGAAGCCTCTGAGGAAGATGTGGATGAGCCATCATCCATAGGAGACATCACACTGCCACATTAAGAAGTGAGTTCCCCTTCACTAAGATTTGTATAGTCATCTCTCAGATGTAATCTAGTGGATTCTGATACTGAGCAAGGGGTTGGATTAAATGATCTCGAAAGTCCCTTTTAACTTGGTCATTCTGTTATGATCCAATTTTTATTTTATACCCAAGATAAAAGAAAAAGTAAAATATAAAAGAAATAAGTATAAAAATACTTTTGATTATTTGATACTTACTCCAAAGTCTTATCCCAATCACACCACAGTGTCTTCCTGAGAGTTTCCATGTCAAATTTAAATTTGCTGAGACAAAAGTCCTCAATTAATTCTCCATAAGATTCATGGCATGCAGAGGCCACAATAAAATGATGGGCTAAAATAGAAACAGGAAAGTGAAAAAGATTTTTAAAACAAGGTAGGAATAAAATTGCTTTTTTCATGTCAGTATAAAAATTACTAGTGGAAGAATAATCCCAAATAGATCTCTTTCTGTCATCTAAACATTGTTGTTTATTCTTGAGTAAATAATCACTTCAGAGAAATGAAACATTACAGGTAAACTTCTAGTGCCATCAAACAGTTTTACTAAATGTAAGTTATAATGTAGCAACTTCATTGCTTCAGGCCTTTGGTGCATTCACAGAGAGCAGAGGCCTAAAGTACTGTGAGATCATGCAAGACCAGTAGCATGAGATCTCATGCTAATGATCTCACCAGTGGTGAGCTTCAGCCAGTTTGTGCCAGTTCAGCCAAACCGGATGGTAATTTTTTTAGCTCTGGTTCGGCGAACTGGTAGTTCCGACAACTGGCTTCCCCCCCGCCCCTCCCAGGAGTCCCCACATGGCCTGTTTTGGATCACAGGTAAGTGCAGGGTCTGTGTGAAGGCTCAGGGAGGGCAAAAACAGACCTCCTGGAGGCTCGAGGAAAGCCTCCGGAGTCTCAGAAGTGCAAAAAACGGGCCTCCCGGAGGCTCCAAAAGGCAGGAATCGGGCCTCAAGAGAACCTCTGGAGTCCAGGGAGGTGAAAATGGACATCCCAGAGGCTCAAGGAAAGCCTCTGTAGCCCGGGGAGGGTGAAAAATGGGCCTCCCAGAGGTTCAAGGAAAGCCTCCAGAGCCTGGGAAGGGTGAAAACTGGCCCTCTGGGGCCCATTTTTGTTCCCAGGGTGGTGGTGCAGGGAGGCCTACTAGGTCAAAAATGGGGCACAGGGGGGATGTAGTGAGCCCCCCCGAGGCCTGTTTTTGCTCCCAGGGTGGTGCAGGAGGCCAACTAGGCCATGTCCAAAATGGCCACACCCATCCAGCAATTGGACAGAGAACCGGTTGTTAAATTATTTGAAGCCCACCCCTGGATCTTGCCCTATTTTAGGCCTCTGTTCTTTGCGAATTGAGGCCTAGGACGAGAACTATGACAAAGGCTTTGCAAATGAAGGGAAAGCTTATATGCTTCAGGCCTTACCTCCACTTGCCGTTTCCTTGCCAAAGCCTACAGGGAGTTTGCATCCTTATAGGCTCTGGTCATCTTTGCAAAAAACCTTTTCTGGCAAGAACAGAACCTGGGAGGGGCTGGTACATTTCTCCTGGGCTCCGTTTCTTACTGGCAAAGGCTTTTTGCTAAGACTTGCTGAAGTCTTAACTCAGATAGTCAATTTTATTCTGGTGGAATTTGCATTTGGATAGTTTGGCATATAACTGAGTTTTTTTAGCACAATTCTGACCAATTTCACAGGTCATGATTAAAATATCACCCAAACAGACCAAAACTTCCTTGTAAAGGTTTTCATGCAGCATTTCATTTATCAGCTACATAAATACAGCTGGAAGACTCTGTGGTCTGAAGGGGAGGGCTCAGAATTGGAAAAACCCTAAGTCGTCTTCCACTCATCACCTTTCTTGATCCTAACCTGGTAATATGCCTCCCACAAATCCAATTTGGTAAAAAGGCTCCCCTTGGCTAAATGCGTTAGCATATTCTTCATCAAGGGAAGGGGTAAAATTCGCCAAGTAGATAGCATTAAGCCCCCAATATTTCATGCATAGACGAAGGGACCCATTCTTCTTTTCCTTAAACAGTACAGGGGCAGCCACCAACAGTGCAGGGGCACTCACACTACTCACTAAACATTATCCTATTAAGAGTGGGACAATGTTCAAGCCTCTCAGCATCATTTTGAATCATGATTGATGTTATCCAATTCTCCTAGCTTGATGACATCTGCAAATGTAATAAATCATTACTTTCCAGCCTTTTGATTATTATTTTTTTTAATTTTACAATTATTTATACCACCATGGCATTTGCAAGGGCAGTGATGGAGATAGGATTCTACTTACTAATTTCTCCCAGGTTCCCATTCATTTCAGAAGCACCCTTTTAAGGCACTTCTGGGTTGAAAAGATTAGTCATTGACATAAAAAAAATCAAAAAGCACCCTTTAGATGCATTTGTCTAATCAGTTGTATATAGCCACAACACAGTACTAACTCACTAGCTCTCTAGCCCACATTCATCCAACTTGTTTCCAAAATATCATGAAATATTTTGTTATATACAGTAATAGAATAAGAAAATGTTGTATAGTATCCCTTATTTCAATAAAGTATTGTATATAACAAAATAGTTCATTATATTTTATAAACAAGTTGGATGAATATGGACTAGAGGGCTAGTTAATAGAATATTAACTGTTCTTTAATAGAACAAGGAAATGTTGTGCACTGTCCCCTACTTCAATAAACTGCCATAAAAATATATGAGTTATATTGAAATGACTTGTTCCTGACAACACAGGGTGGATCTTAATAACAACAGCATTTTTTTAAATTATGCTCGGATACAATATGTTGTAAAGTATAAAATGTAAATATACTTAATGAAATAAACTCAAATACAGATACCAATAGGAGTACAGCTGCCTAGTTCCTTCCTTTTCCCTTTTTGAATACTATATTGGAAATGGGTTTGCTCTTCTCCAGTCTTCCAGCTTTTAATCAAAAATAAACTTTCTTCCATATTCAGTAGAATAAAAAAGTAGAGGGGGGGGTCTTTGGAGGGGGGTCTTTAACAAAATAATAGCAGTATCTAACTAAAGAAGTGAATTCCTACCAAATTCAGGTTTAATACAGGTTTAATACAGGTTTAATACTCAACTTATAATAGTTCATTTAGTGACCATTCAAAGTTACAACAGCACTGAAAAAAGTGCTGACCATTTTTCACACTTATGACCGTTGTAGCATCTTCATAGTTATGTAATCAAAATTCAGATACTTGGCAATGGCTTCATACTTAGGACAATCAGTGTCCCAGGTTCATTTTATCTGTTTTTGGCCTTTTGACAAGCAAAGTCAATGGAGAAGCCAGATTCACTTAACAATCAGGTTACTAACTTTAATAAGTACAATAATTCACTTAACAGCTGCAGCAAGAACAGTCCTAAAATGGGGCAAAACTCACTTAACAAATGTCTCCCTTAGCAACATAAATTTTGGGCTCAATTGTGGTAGGTTGAGCACTAGCTGCATATAGTTTAGTACACATAAAAGAAAGGAATAAATATGTACAAAGCAGGAAACTTATTGTTCATATGTTTTAGCAACAAAATCAAAATAATTCCTCATCAGTAAAAATACTGTATCAAGGTAAATTTTTCTTCTGCTTAAAATATTTCTAGATAGGAATAGCAACAATGGTAACTCAGAGCATTCTCTCAGAAGCAGAGCAATCAAATGCAATCAAATCTGTATGGTAAAATTCCAGATGGCCACGAGATTGTAGGAAAAAACTAAGAGATATCTGTCAGCCTGACCCCCACCATAATACTCTATGCAAAAATCTACGTAGATGGGGCCAGCCCTGCAGGTGACAACCAATGTTCATTTTTTAAAAGACTGTGCTTGAATCTTGGCTGTAGTTATGTATCACTAAACGGACATCATTCTGTGATTTATTCTCCAGATGTCTGATACCAAGAGCTGGATCTGACTTGGTGTGAATTGCCTGTCAACTGAATCTCTAATGTTTACTCATTTATGTCCTTAGAAACAGTGTGTTTTCAATAGTAGATAATATCTCATTGAATCCTGCTTTGACGGAGCAAAATTTCAACTCAATTGCTGATGCCACCTTTGCTTTTTCCATTTTTTAAAAATTTTTCTCTTTTGGTCTATTCTTTATGTTCCAACCAGCCTCTCTAAATATCAGACTGCCTACATATAGTGCTTGACTTACGATCATGATACCCATTACAGTCCTAAGTCATGACTCATAAAATGGGTCATCCTCAGGATAGAACCGATTTTATTACCTTTTTTTGAGATGGTAGTTAAGCAAATGCCACATTAAGTGAATGTTTAAGTGTTCGTAGGGGCTGGTTTTGCTGAAAACTGGAAGTAAATGCTGCTTTTCAGCAAAATCATCATAAAATGCGGTAATGTAACTGTGGAATTTTGCAAACAGCTATAAAGGCAGGCTAGCTACTAAGTGCCCAAAATGCAGTCATATGACTATTGGGGGTGGGGGGTGGCCATCAGAACCAAGTCTTAAGTACCTCTGTAAAGGTCTAACATAACTTCACAGTTGCTATGCAAACTATTATAAATCAAGGACTACCAGCATTGCCTCTATATGGCAGTTATTCTTTAGGAAAGAAAGAAGTACCATATATTTTACCTGTTATTGGTGCCTCTTAGCCTGGAAAACTTAGATCATGTACCCCGGTCATACTTACTCCATTTCTATATTGCAGATGGGTAACAAGGAAGTTTTCATGTTGTATACATGCAAAATATGAATTTTTGAAGATACTTTGTTCAGAGCATTCAAGCTACAGTATTAACAACTATCTGGACCCACAAAACAAGATAAGGTAAAAATATATCAAAATATCATTAGTTTTGATAACAGTGGGACTGCCTCTGAAAGCCATCTGCTGGAAAACTGGTGGGCTTCTTTGTAGAGATGGTTAGCTGTGAGAATAGACTGCTGGATTAGATAGGACTGATCCAGAAAACCACATTTAGGTTCTTATGAACATGATATCTAATCTCTATCAGAGTTGGCAAGAAATGACCCCACATTGAATGATTTATCTTAAAATCTTTCATTCCTTTAGGACTTTTGAACTAGTCAGCCAATGAACATGAGTAGGTGGATAACTTAGAAAAATTAAAGATGCGGGTGATACTGGAATGGGAGGCGCTGTGCACTTGGAAGAAGTTACTGAGTTTCCTGGGCTTTCTTTTATAGACAATTCATTCCTGCATTCACACAAATTGCTCTGCCATTAACTAGCTTACTAAAAGCCAAAGGGGAGGGTAAGCCTAAGCTCAGAACCCCCTCAAATAGTCCATGGAATGCCAGGCAGCTTTTGAGA